CTGTACTGTCTCTGTCAGCAGGAAAGCCATCATCGGACATGGCCACAAGTACGAGCCAGCAGAAAGCCCATTTCCCTTTTAAGTCACCCAGGCTTTGGGACAGTGCTTTACAATAGAAAACGGACAGAGGTTTTTTGATCTGGTCACAGGCCTTGTTTTCTATAGCCACAAGGGGTAGGTATTAAGACCTTGGCTCTAGGCCCCCAGCGGTGTGGTCTAGCTAAGCTAAAGTCTACGCCAGGATCCCATATGGGCACTGGTTCTAATCCCGCCAGCTCCACTTCCCAACCAGCTCCCTGCTTGTGGCCTGAAAAAGCAGTCGAGGATGGCCCAAAGCTTTGGGACCCTGCACCTGTGTGGGAGACCCGGAAGAAGTTCCTGACTCCTTGCTTCGGACTGGCATAGCATCGGCCGTTGCGGCTCACTTGGGGAGTGAATCATCGGACAGAAGATCTTCCTCTCTGTATATCTGACTTTGTAATAAAAAAAAATAATAATAAATAAATAACTCTTAAAAAAAAAAGACTTTGGCTCTAGAGAGGTCAAGAGCTGCAGTTCAAAATCTCAAAAGGTAGGACCTCAGAGGAATCACAGTGTCAGGGCTTTTTTTTTTTTTTTTTTAAATAAACCAACCCAAATGTATGATACGACAGGAAAGAGTCTGGGTTATAATTCCTACTAAGAATTTGAAATCCTGACTCTGTGAACCCTGGTTTGTGTTATTTGTGTGGAATCTACACCATTTGTGTGGTTCCAGAATCCCTGGCAAGAAAATCAACTTAAAACATAATTCCAGGCTGATAATTCTTGTTGGTGATTACTAGAAACGAAAAAATATGAATCTTCCCACTCCCTGGCGGAGGACTAATTATCTCAATTGTCACAATTGTCTTATGAAATAAAATGATGCTATCTCAGTTTATGAAAGAAATTAAGTTTAGCAAGTTTTAGCAATGCATCCAAGATTTTCCAGCTATTATCTGACAGGGCTGGGATTTGAACTTGGTGGTTGTTCAACTAATCAAAACATATCACTGAGTTCTACTAGGTGCCAAACAGAAACACGGTCTGTTTCTTTTCCAGTATATCACAGTGCCTAATCTTCTTTGTGCAAATTCAACAGATAGATATACGCAACTATTTTCTTACTTCTCAAGTTGAGTAAGTAAGAATGGAGGCAGCCAGAGCCACAGCAAATAGGAAACCAGAGTCCCACTGGATTCCCCTGGGCTCTGTCTGGTAAATGCACTGAGGCTACCGGAACACCCTGAACAGGAAAGGAAAAAAAAAAACAACAAGCTTTTTGGGTGAGGAGGGTGTGCATCCATACACAGGTCCTGGTGACTGGACAAATGTGTGATGGAAGTTCAAACAGAGCAAATTTACTTCTAAAGTTAAAGAATATGGACAATGAAGCTATTGTGACAATCATGCAAAATGGAAAGTTAGGGATAAGACACAGTCATGTCAAGTACAACTTCCAATACATTTCTGAATTTTATTTTGATTGCACAGTGCTAAGAGCATTTACAAAAAATTAAGTGAAAATAAAAATGCAGCTGTAAATGGTAGGTTTTTATTTTGTTTTTTTTTAAGATTTTATTTGAAAGGTAGAATTACAGAGAAGGAGGGAGAGACACACAGAGAGAAATCTTCCATCAGCCAGTTCACTTACCACATGGCTGCAATGGCTGGGTCTAGGCCACTCTAAAGCCAGGGACCCACGAGCTTCATCTAAGTCACCCACCTGGGTGGCAGGGGTCCAAACACATGGGCCATCTTCTGCCTTCCTAGGCCTTTAAGCATAGACTTAGGTGGGAAGTGGAGCAGCCAGGAAAAAATATACTCAGATGGGATGCTGGCCTTGCAGGTGGCTTTACCTGCTGAGCCATAGTGCAGGCCTCCTGGTAGCAGTTTTCTTTTTCAAATTAGCATGCATTCTTAGCAGCTTAAAACCCTGATAATTCTACATGATGTATGTATGCTTTATAAAAATAGTTCTCAATATTAAAAAAAATCAAGCATTTCAGGACTTTGAAATATTCTCCTAGTGTTTTTGTAGAGCAAAGTTTGGAAACAATCAGAGAGTGGGCTTCTCAGAAATCCCTACACACTCAGTTACAAAAGGGAACTGCTGGGGCTAGCGCCACAGTCTGGTGGCTTAAGCCCTCACCAGCAGCACTGGCATCCGATATGGGTATCAATTCAAGTCTCAGCTGCTCCACTTTTAATCCAGCTCCCTGAGCAGATTGGGTCTCTGCGCCCAGGTGGGAGACCTGGAAGAAGTTCCAGATCAGCCCAACTTCAGCTATTATGGCCATGTGGGGAATAAGCCAATAGATGGAAGATCTCTCTGTCTCTCCTTCTCCTTTTGTAATTCTGCCTTTCAAATAAATAAACTGAGAGAAAGAAAAAGAAAGAACTGATATATATCACAGCTTTATTCAATGCCCATAACTCTCTTGGGGCAAAACTCTCATTCTGCACTCTCAATTCTGTCACCAAAACCTTGATCTATTTTCTGATCCTCTTTTCCTGCCTCTCCTTTTTTCTATACTTTACTCCAGCTAAGCCAAATAACTTACTGAAATTTGCATGATCTAAAAGTAACTACATGAGACTGGCATTGTGGCATAATGAGTAAACTCACTGCCTGCAATGCCAGTATTCCATATGGACATCACCTTGTGTTCTGGCTACTTCACTTCTGGTCCAGCTCCCTGCTAATCATCTGAGAAAAGCAAATGGCCCAAGTACTTGGACCCCTACCAACCCCATGAGTCCTATAAGAAGCTCCTGGCTTCAGCCAGGCCCAGCCCTGGCTGCTGTAAACATCTGGGGGCAAACTAATGAATGGAAGATCTCCCTGTCGCTTCCTTTCTTAATCTTTGAAATGAATCTCCCCCCACAAAAATGACTACACATTATACATTTATGAGCTCACTGACATTTATTTATATTAATTATATATAAATTATTTATATTTATATTTTCACTTATATTTACATTAATATTTTTAAAACTAAAGATGTGCTAAGTAATCAACATGCTGAACAACTTACATGCATTTTTTTCTTGAGATTTATTTATTTATTTAATTTTTTTTCTTTTAAGAGCTATTTGTTTTTACTGCAAAGTCAGATATATATATATATATAGAGAGAGAGAGGAGAAGAGACAAAAAGGAATATCTCCCATCTGATAATTCACTCCCTAACCGGCCACAACGGCCAGAGCTGAGCTGAACCAAAGCCAGGAGCCCTGAGCCTCATCCGGGTCTCCAAAATGGGCACAGGGTCCCAAGTCTTTGCACCGTCCTCAACTGTTTCCCAGGGCACAAGCAGAGACTTGGATGGAAATCAGGGATGCCAGAATTAGAACCAGTGCCCATACGGGATCCCAGCATGTTTAAGGAGAGGATTTTAGCTATTAGGCTACTGTGCTACTTTCCCGGGCCCAAGCACTTGGGCCAACCTCCACTGGCTGAGTTTGAAATGGAACACTTAGGACTTGAACCAGCACCCAAGAGATGCTAGAGCTGCAGGTGGCAGCTTTACATGCTATGCTACGGCACTGGCCCCAACATGATTTTTTTTTTTTACTTCCATTGCTATGAACACCCTCCACTTCTACGTATTTGTAAAAATAAATAAATAAATAAATAATAACCATTATTAAGTATTTACTTCATGCCAGTTATCACATGCTGAACTTTATTTATACTAACTCACGTAATTTTTTTTAAGATTTATTTATTTTTATTACAAAGTCAGATTTATAGAGAGGAAGAGAGACAGAGACGAAGACTTTCTATCCAATGATTTACTCCCCAAGTGAGCACAACGGCAGCCAGGAGCCAGGAGCTAGGAACTTCCTCTAGGTCTCCCACATGGGTGCAGGAACCCATGATTTTGGGCTGTCCTCGACTGCTTTCCTGGGCCACAAGCAGGGAGCTGGATGGGAAGTGGAGCTGCCGGGATTAGAACCGGCGCCCATATGGGACCCTGGCACGTTCAAGGCAAGGATAGCTGCTAGGCCATCGTGCCAGGCCCTACCTCATGTAATTCTTACAGCAGTCCTACAACATAGGGTAATACTATTGCATTCACTTTATATACAAGAACATTAGGGCTCTGGAAGGTCAGAAAAATTGCCTCAACTTGAATAAGGGAGAGAATACTTCCTGGCAAAGTGTTGAGTTCAGAGGGAAAATAATGAAGTGTCAGAGACAATGGCATTCCAATATAAGAACACTGTCCATTAAGGCAGAGATGCAGGAAACAGCAATCCTCAGAAAGACCAGAACTGTGTTCAACTAATATAACTTGTTTTGTTTTGTGGCTTCTCACAGAGACTACAATTTCCTCATGAGTGAAACGGTGACAGTAAGTGCATGGTATACAAGAGCTTTAACACCCAAATAAAACACAGGACATCAAAGTGCCAGCAAGGGCTAGGGCCAGGGGAAGTACTCAGTGGATGAACCTTACCCTTCCTTCCCACTAGGGTCTTAGTCTCGAGAACACCATTACTGGGCCTAGTGCAGTCACCTAATGGCTAAAGTCGGGATCCCATATGGGAACCGGTTCTAATGCCGGCAGCCCCGCAACTCTTCCAGCTCCCTGTTTGTGACCTGGGAGGTCAGTCGAAGATGGCCCAAAGCCTTGGGATCCCGCATCTATGTGGGAGACGAGAGGAGGTTCCTGGATATTGGCTTTGGATCAGCACAGCACCGGCTGTTGTGCTCACTTGGGGAGTGAATCATCGGACGGAAGATCTTCCTCACTGTCTGTCTTCCTCTCTGTATATCTGACTTTGCAATAAAGATAAATAAATCTTAAAAAAAATACCAGCGGACATCAGACTTTTTTTCCCCAAGTTCTTTGGCAGTGTTATCAAGGTTTTTGGAGGTACGTCATTCCAAAATTTAGTCATCAAAGCACAGGGATGCCCTTATGTTCACTCTTTCTCAAACTGCGAGCCATTTTCACAGCACTCACCCGTGTAGGCCATGTTCTTAGGGTTGCCATAAGGAGCCCCAGGCTGCACGGGGCTGTAAACAGGATTCATTGTGGAAGACTGAGGATCCTACAGAGAAAACAAAGAAAACAGCAGTGGTTACTGACTGCTCACTCCCCCTGACATCAGCTTCTCTATAATCTTCAGATTATACACAAAGGGAAGCATCATAGTACAACAGAAATAGGATTAAACAAAAAGTCCATTTATTTTTATTCAGCTGTATGCTACATACTTCTTAAATTTTATAATTTGAGAAAAAAAGAAAAAAGCAACTATCTGCTGACTGCGTCCCCGAATGCCCTCAATGGCCAAGGCAGGGCGGGGCCAGGCCAAAACTGGGAGCCAGAAACTCAACCCAGGCCCCCATGTGTGTGACAGGAGCCCAATCACTTGCCTGTCTCCGTTGCCTCCCAGGCTCTGCTTTAGCACAAAGTTAGACTCAGGAGCCAGAACTGGGAATCAAACCCAGGCACTCCAATAGAGGATACAGGCATTTTAACTGCTAGGCCATACTGAGGAAACACAAATGATATAACTTAGTATTAAACCATGCATTTGGGCTCTCAGCTTAATGTTAATCCTACTAATGCACAGACAGCTCTGCCAGCAAGCATACTGTGTGACACTGGTTAATTTAGTGTCCTGGTGTAAATGGAAATCAGGCTAAGGTCTTTGGGAAACGTTCCTCATGATGAGAACAAGAGCTGGCAGGGTGTGCTCCTCCAGTTCCCTGGGGAGCAGAGGAGCCTGCTGACAAGCAAGAAGTGCAGCAAGGGTCTCACCCAACCCTGGCACCTGCAGAGGACAAGATTTTGGTTCTTGGAAGCTTTAAAAAGCAATTGGGATCTTATTAACATTGATCATTTTAAAGCAAACAGGGAAACATGGCCAAGATGTCTTTCCAAATTTATTCAGAGAGAAACTTGGAAATCCAGATGCAGTATTACTTGCACAAGTGCTCTGTTAATTAGCTTAATGAAGCACATTCTCCATTCTGATTAATGGAAACTCTGTCATTAAGCCTTATTAGCCAGCAATTTGTCCCACCTTGCTTAGGGAGCAATTTCTCACATGCAGGCAGACACTTGTTTGAAAAACGTGTCTCCAAATATATTATTTACACTTCATAAAAACTAAACGATTCCCTCCTAACAGGGTTCACATGATAGATGGGCGATTTTTTAGGTCATTAACTTCTTGTGCAGCACCTTAGGACAGGAAACAAGTTAAATGTTGAAGGCAGGCAGTAAACAGCTGACTTGACAACTGCTCTGAAATTAACTACTTTGTCTTGGGGTTCTGAAATGAGAGTTGGAGGAAAGATGGATTTTCAAGGAGAGGAAGCTGGGGGCCTCAGACAGGTAAAAGGGGAAATACCACTAGTGAATTCCAGAGAGAACTTCCTGAAGGCATCCAGTGTGCAGAGCACAGCCCAAAACATTTTAAAAATCAATGGATAGTTTTTTTTATTAAATATATTTTTTCACCAACTAATTTTAGGAGGCTTTTCATGTGCATGGTTTCAAAGTTTTCTGCACCAAAAATAAATTGAATACACTCAAATAACACTTTTCCTGACTATACAAACTCTCCTCACAAGGCACTGAATCAGGAGTGATCACAGACACTAAACACTCAGCGGACTATAAAGTGATATGCAGTTGTGAAAAGTCATGAGGTGACAATGGTTACACAGGTGATTGCCGATACATTTTCCTTGACTTGTGGTTCTCTTTTTCTGCCTAAGAGGAGGAGTATGGCAGACAAATTGCTGCAAAGGTTTGAACGTATCGACAGAAATGCCAAGTGCTGGAAACTTAATCGAGAGGTGATTCAGGGGTCCAGTGCGATAGCATAGTGGTTAGGGTCCTCGCCTTGCATGTGCCAGGATCCCATATGGGCGCCTGTTCTAATCCCAGCAGCCCCGCTTCCCGCCAATCTCCTTGTTTGTGGCCTGGGAAGGCAGTCGAGGACGACCCAAAGCCTTGGGACCCTGCACCTGCCTGAGAGACCCAGAAGAAGCTCCTGGCTCCTGGCTTCGGATTGGCTCAGCTCCAGCCGTTGTGGCCGCTTGGGAGTGAACCATCTGACAGAAGATATTCCTCTCTGTCTCTCCTGCATCTGCATATTCACCTTTCCAATAAAAAAACAAATAAATCTTAAAAAAAAAAAGAGGTGATTCAGCCAGGAGGAATATGCCCTCTTTGAGTGGCTAGCACTGTGGTTATCAGAATAGGTTCTTTATAAAATGGCAAGTTTGATTCCTTCTTCCCCTTTCTTGCTCTCTCTCCCTTTCCCCACCCCTGCTCTTTTAAACATTTATTTATTTGTTTATTTTACTGGAAACAGATTTACAGAGAGAAGGAGAGACAAAGGCCTTCTGTCTGCTGGTTTACCCCCAAAGTGTCCACAACAGCCAGAGCTGAGCCAATAAGCCAGGAACCTCTTCCAGGTCTCCCACATCGGTGCAGGGTCCCAAGGCCTTGGGTCGTCCGCGACTGCTTTCTCAAAGATTAGCCAATGGACCATTGTGCCAGGTTCCTTGCCTTCTCTTTGTCCATCCACACTTCTGTCGTGGGATGCTGCAGCAAGAAGGCTTTTGCCAAACACTAACGCATGACTACTGCACTTCCCAGGTTCCCAGACTATCACCACAAATCATCCAATCACTGGCATTCCATTATAGTAGCACAAAATGCTCTAGGACCTTTGCTAAGCAGCACAACTGGCTCAGTAAGCAAAGGAGCACTCTCCTACTGAGAAGCCTCTCTGAGGTGCGGACTGAACAAAGTGTGAAACTGTTTTTCATAACAAAAGCAGCTCAGCTTTGAAACTTGTCTCCTGTTGCTTCACAAGAGAGACTCAGCCTGCAGCCTCTGCTGAAGTCAGGCACCCAGCAACAGATCGGGAAGCAAGTCCTGCTGTGGGAGTGGTTCAAAAAGTTAAATAGATATGTTCCTCAGTCACTCTTGGGGAGCTGGTCAAGAGTACAGCTGCTGGTTGCTGCAGGAGAGTCAACAGATTCAGGGGCAGGCGAGAAGACTGTGAGGAAGATCACAAACTCCACAGTCAAGCAGACACAGGTTTAACTCCTGGAAGTGTCACATATCACCTGTGGAAGCAGAGCCATGTCCCTTAGCCTGCCTGAGTCTCAGCTGGTTCTTACTGCAAAATGGAAAAGAATAAAACACGTGGAAAAGATGCTTTCTTTTTTTAATGACAACTTTCTTCGGGCATATGATTCTGTAAGTCCTGAAAAATAAATTCAGCCGTACAAATACCACTACAATCAAGGTATTTTCATCACTCAATAAAAGTTCTCTTAGTTTTGTAGTCAATTCTTCACTGATGTGGAAGTTAGTTTAGAAAAGCTGAGCTATAAGTTACTCCCCAAAAGCCTCAGGTACCCTAAATTCCACTCTGTGCTTAGGTGCTTGATTAGGATACGGGATACCACCCCCATCTCACAAGAGAGGCTGATAATACGGGAGGGCCCCTCCTTGTCTCTTTTCTTCTAGAGCACGCTATAGGTTCTTCTCTGGCCTCCCAACACCCCACCCCCTACTCTGTTCTCTGGTCCACTTACGACAGACAGGTGCCTCTCAATTTGGGGTAGCCTACACTCAGGTGAGAACATATATTCACTCTCAAATAAAGATGGCTCTCTCTCTTATGTACCTTATTTACAGTTCTGCTTTGAATGTTTAATTTCTGTGGGGGCAAGAACTTGAAATAAAGACTGAGATACTTGGGGTTGACACCAAAGGCATAGCAGCCCACTCCTCCACCTGTGGAGCCAGCATCAGTGTAGGCACCGGATGATTTCCAAAGGCTCTATTTCCAATCCAACTCCTTGCTAACAGCCTGGGAAGGCAGCACAGAAGGGCCCAAATCTTTGGGTACCTGCACTCATGTCAGAGATCCAGAAACTCATGGTTTCAGATAGACTCGGTTCCAGCAGTTGCAGTCAAATAAAAATAAAATAGTCTTAAAAAGAAAGATTAATTATCTTCATTATAAAGTCAGAGATACAGAAAAAGAGAGAGAAAGAGAGAGAGATCTTCTATCCACTGGTTCACTCAAGTAACTGCAACAGCTGGAGCTAAGCCGACACGAAGACAGGAGCCAGGAGCTTGTTTCAGGTTTCCCATGTGGGTGCAGAGTCCCAAGGCTTTGGGGCATCCTCCATTGCTAGCAGATGGAGGACTAGCTAGTTGAGCCATCATACTGGCTCTCCAAATAAAATAATCTTTAGAAAAATTGAGATATATATGCTATAACATACTATAAAAGTAGGCCAGGCTACACAGTTCCCGTGTGTTGTTTACCAGTTGGAAGACTTCAGAGCAATCCTGCCCAACAAAAATTTCTGCAATGATGGAAATACTGAGTCCTCAACTTTTCTTTTAATTAAACTTAAATATTCACATGATATCACTCATTTAAGAGAGTATTTTTCAGAAAAATAGCAGAATAGAGAGCAGGAAGTAGCCACAAACGTAAATAACTTTATTTCTCATTTTATAGATGAGAAAATAAGCTGAGAATAGGTAAATGATCAATCCAGGTCACAACGTAAGTAAGGAACAGAGTTAAGACTAGCAAGCAAATGAGTCACTGCCCAAATGCATGAGCCAAACACTCTTAGCAAGGCGGGAAGTGAACTAGCCATACACCTTCATACTCTTGGATGTGGCAATGTTTTCATACACATGATACCAAATACATACACAACACAACAAAACTGTATTAATCCAAATGAAAACTTCTGTGTCTTAAAGAGCACCACCAAAAAATCAGAAGAACAAACCATGAAGTGAAAGGAAATATCTTCAGATCAAATATCTGATAGAAGATATGTATTCAGGCTACATAAAGAACTCTTATATGTGAACAATAAAAAGATAAACCCAACTTAAAAAAAAATGATTAGAGAATCTGAGTAGACCTGTCTGGAATGTAGCTCAGGAATCTATGCTGTTAAATTGCCAAGAAAGTTTTGGGGACCCCCTGCCTTAGATTTTCAATCTTGAGTTTTGTTTCTCTCACATTAAGTTCAACAGAGG